AAAGAATACAGTTTAGGATCTGTGTCATTATTTTAGGCTATGTTACTACTGGAATAAAGGTCCTTACGCTAAATTATGAACCACATTCCCAGAATGCTTAGTTTCTTATGCTCAGAGCACAGCTAAACTGTGTGTGACCTTTGGATTAAATAACTTTCAAAAACTGCAGAGTAAGGTTTTTCATCTCTATCAGAATTTGGATCTGTGTTGAATGTTTTGCACTTTTGATGCTTCCTCTTTCATGAATCTCAGACAAATATAATTTGGTTTGCATGCTAGAATGATGGTATTTTTAGATGAGCAGAAGGAGATTAGATAATGCTGCATAGCAGGATTTTAAAATAAGTTCTGCAAAGTACAAGTTTCACTATCTAAAATAGCATCCAGAGTTGCTCTCCATCCTCTGTCACTAGAATATTAAGCTAACCAGAAATTTGCTAAGCCATAGTCATGTTATTGACTATCTATTGTCTTCTTAAGTTAATAATTATTTTTTAAAAAAAGCTAATTTTTAAATGAGATTTGAGATTTCTATTGGTCTTTAAACTGCTGGTCAAGAATTTAACAAAGAATGTTACTATTGCTCCTAATAAATAAAGTAAATTATAATATGGAAGAAATGGATATGAGCAACTGGATACCCCTTTTTTATTATGATTTTTGAAAGTGTTACTGGGTTTCCTATTACTTCTTGCTTCTTATTAAAGCAGAAATCATCAATCGTGGACTGTCATGGCTAAATATTTTCTGAGTTCAAAGCTAAAGGACACATGGCAAGGGACATCAATGAGTGCTCGACTGAGTGGTTCACCTCATCTGACTCTACCAATCTAAAGCTTCAAGTCCAGCCTTTAGGCTGCTTTCCTAATTATCAGAGCTAGCACTACCAGAGATGGGTGTTTGAGGTGAATTGTTCTCTGGAGTCACCTCTTTATTGCTGCTTCTACTGGAGAAATACGAGGTATGGTTCAGGGTGAACAGATTATCTCCATGTGAGTCCTTTCCCTTGCAGTCATTGCTACTCTGCTCTCCAGACCCCTGATCATGAAGTGCTCTTACCGATTTGCTGAGATTAGAGGGGCTGCCTGTGTTCCAGAGGCACCTGAAGAGCACCTTTCTGCCCCAAAGCAAGACCCAGACTTGTGCTGTATACCTTCTGGAAAGGCAGCCATGGTTCCTTGCAGGGCTGTCCAAGCAATGAGCGAGCCTGACTTAAACAAGTGTGCCCTAACTCCATGTTGAGTTTTTCTGACTTCAGTTTCTAGATGCTGGTTTTTGTGATGGCTTTTCTCTTTCATTTAAAGAGTGTTTCAGAAGCTGGCATGCACATTCAATGCACGACCAATGTGCAAGATTCTTGGCAGGGAAACACATGTAAGCATTTATTTATGTTTTCTTCACCGCCACCCCCAAGGAAAATCATGCAGTAGTCACAGTCACTTCACCGCAAAACCTCTTAGATGCTCAGGCACATCTACAGAGTAAAATGTCATCCAGCATATTGGTGCACTTCTATGGACCTCTTTGCACAGTAAATGCTACAAGGCCCTGATACATTTTTTTGCACTACCTGTATCTATTTTGCAATAGAATTCCAGCTCAAAAGCTAAGTATTCTTTTTCTTTTTTAATTGCTTTAATATTTTTATGACCATAGTTAATTCAGTGTTTGATGGGGGGGATATAGCTGTAGTTGTGCACTCTTTGTGAGGAAAGGATTTGAACAACCAAGGCACCACATTCTGGTTGATAGTGACAGATGTTGCTCCTTTTTAATTTGAAAACTGCAAGGTTACTCTTTTTTTGCCCACATAAAAGAAACTTTCTGAGCATTCCAGATATTCTTCACATCCATATTTTCTATCTGCTACTGATCCCATCAAAAATAGAGCAATAAAATTTCTGAACAAAATTTCTTTGAACTGTTTTCATTAATTCAGTAGTTCCTCACCTTCCAAGGACCTGACCATGTGATGAATAAACAGAAGCTATTTTCAGAATAAAGAGTTTTCTTTCAGGTACTCTAGTCATAAGAAATGGCCTTACTTCCTGATTCTTTTCAATTCCCTTGTATTTAACTGGAACTAAAACTATTAGATGGAAGCTAGATGGAGAGCTTCGAACACCAGTTCTGTGATCATCTATTAAAGCTCTACAGAGGGATCTGGACAGGCTGGATCAATGGGATGTGACCAAATGCATAAGGTTCAACAAAGCTCAGTGCTGGGTCCTGCATTTGAGTCACATCAACCCCATGCAACACTACAGAATTGAAGCAGAGTGGCTGAGAAGATCCCAGAGGAAAAGGACCCTGGGGGTGTTGGTTGACAGCCAAATTAACATAAACCAGCTTGTGCCCAGGCAGCCAAGAAGGCCAACAGCATTCTGACCTGTATCAGAACTATTTCTGATATTTCTGTGGCCAGCAGGACCAAGAAAGTAATCATCCCCCTGTACTTAGCACTGGTGAGGCTGCACCTCAAATCTTGTGTTTAGTTCTGGGCCCCTCACTACAAGAAAGACATGGAGGTGCTGGAGCAGGTCCAGAGAAAGGCAAGGAAGCTGAGGAAGGGTCTGGAGCACAAGTCTGATGAAGAACAGCTGAGGGAACTGAGGTTGTTTAGTCTGGAGAAGAGAAACTCAGGGGAGACCTTATCACTGTCTACAATTACCTGAAAGGAGGTTGTAGCAAGGCGGGTGTTGGACTCTTCTGCCAAGTAACAAGCAATACGACTAGAAGAAATTTGCACCAGGGAAGGTTTAGGCAGGATATTAGGTAAAATTTCTTTCCTGAAAGGGTTGTCAGGCACTTGAACAGGCTGCCCAGAGAAGTGGTGGAATCACCTGTGTGTGTTTAAAAGACATTTAAATGTGGTACTTAGGGACATGGTTTAGTGGTGGATTGGCACTGCTAAGTTAACAGTTGGCCTTGTTGATCTTAAAGGTCTTTCCCAATCTCAGTGATCTTACGATTCTATAATTTCAGCTGTGTTCAAAACTGTTTTTCCATCTTGTCTGGGGAAGTGCCTGCAAATTCATTTTTCTACTGTTATTAGCAAAGCCCATATACTGTGCTCATGTTTCTAAACATAAAACACAGGGAAAATCCTCAAGCTGTCAGGAGGTCTGTTAGCTTAAATACAGCCCACATCTTTGCTCTCATCCCATTGCATACTTTCATTTGCTCTCAGTTTAAAAAAAAAGCAGACCTACCTACCCAAAGTGACAATCATCTGAATTTGCCAGTTTTGATGAAGGACTTCTTTAAATAAAGAATTTTATCATGGGCTCAGCAGCAGCAGCTGTACTTGATTTTAAAAGTATATTTTATTTATAAAAGTATCTTTGAAGATCCAGTCTATTTCCAGCTCTGTAATAATTGCAGCAATCTGATTGGGTTCAGTTCCTCAGGGTTTTTTTTTTTTTGATGACATGGTACAGTGAATTGTCCTGGTGTGCATCAGGATTTCTTGCATATATTATATTGAGTCAGTCAATGCTTGAAATCATCTTGTTCTGCTCCCCATCAGTAAATAAGTAGTTTCAGAAGGGAAAGGACTATATAACGTCACTGGTAGTTTTTCTACTGGTGTGTTGCCTTGAGCAAATCAGTTTCAGATTCCCCTTCTATACACGTTTGACAATGATGCGTATCATTCTGTGCAATGTGTTGTGAGATTTTGGGAAGAAAAATGCTGTGTGAGAGTTAGTGTTCTTAGTCTTAACTCATTTATTTTACCTAATCCAAACTATTATTTGAGCCTCAGGGCAGAAATTGGAAATTAATATCTCTTTTGTTATATTACTGTAGGCCCATCAACAGCAAACTAATGAAATAGCAAATTTCCCCCCTCAATCTGAGCCACCATGCTACTGGGGGTATTCACTCTTTCACAGCAAGTCAATCTCCAACAGTGGGCTTGCAAAACACACCCTGCAAACTGCCAACTTCCTCAGCTATTTCCAGTCCGTGTTGTTTCAGCCAACTGTGTGTAGTTTCATATTTACACTGTCACAGAAGATTAGATAGGATGTTTCTGTTTTCCATATAACCAAAAAGCCATTTTAGAATCATAGAATCATTTTCAGGGAATCAGATTCATAAAGTGATATGGGTTGGAATGTAGCCCTCAGGTTCATTTAGCTCAATCTCCCTTTCAAAGGAGGGAGAAATTTGAAGTTAGAGGAAGTTGCTGGGACCTTGTCTTGTTAATTTTGACTGTCCTCAAGGTTTCTGCATTCTCTTAGGGAAATCTGCTCTAGTGTTTAACCACTTTTAGTATTTTCTTCCATATACCCAAATCAGATACTTTTCGTTGCAATAGAAACGTGTTATATGATGTATACTTCCCTAGGAAACAAGTTTTTGATTAGTTGAGGCTTTGTCTTTTTTTTTTTTTTTCAGATTATTCACAGTAAATTCTTAATAAATCATTTAAATTGAGTCAGAGATTTTTAGGATAAGCCAAGAAAAGTCAGATTTCAGAGAAACATGATAAGATCGGGCACATATTTTGAACAAGCTCCATTCATCTCCTTCTGCCTCACACAGTCATTTCAGTTTTGGTCCAATTCTAATGATATGTGCTTCAGAAATTTCAAATTGCATTTAAAAGTGTTCCTTGTTCTTCAGCACAGAAACATTATACAAGTGAGAGAGGGAGCATAGCAATTCAAATATGTATGAGACTACAAATACGAGCCAAAGGAAACATGCTTAATAATTTGCATGCAAAGGAGCAACTCTGGACATGGTTAAGGAACTGCATGATCTGAAGATACCTGATGTAGGAAATAATCCAATCTGTCAAAGCTCCAGGACAAACAGTGCAGCAGGGTATCACAGAGAAGAAAGAAAAAGCTGGAAGTAAAACAAAAAATGTGCCCAAATTAATGCTGGTTAGGGTTATTAAGGGCTGTTGGTGCCCCGAGGGCCCCAACACTCTCATCCTCAAATCTAACAGTGTTTTCTAATCAGTGCATTTCTGTTGATCCTCTCAGGTGCTGAAATTCGTCCCTGAGGCGGGCCATCCCAGAAGAAAAGGCAGAACCAGGAACAACATGGCCTTAGTAGATATACAGCTGGATCACCATGAGCGTTGTGATTGTATCTGCAGTTCAAGACCACCCCGATAAAAAAAGAAAGAAAGAAAAGAAAAAAAGAAAACAAAACACACTACTTGCAGCTTACCAGATGTTTACTTTTAAGCAGGATTGCTCTGAGGACCTTTACTCACTAATCATTTGAACTTTGCTACTAGCCTGCCTTTTGCAATTAGCAAAAATGATCGCTATGTTTCAGCATAGCTTTGCTGATTAGTACCATGGCAGCCAAACAGGTATATCATAGATTTTTATGTATCAGCATCCAAGACAATAGGATTATGGTTATCTGTAGCTAGATTCTGAAGGTTGAGATTTTCAAAGCTCATTTACAGTCCTTAGGCATGCAATGCCCACTGAAATTAAACACCAGTTAGGTATTTGTGGTAGCTGGCAATGAAATAGTGTTGCATTTCTGTTTCTCACTCACCAGTTCCTACTCTTAAATTCTGCTGCCATTTCTACCTGCCTAGCTCTCCTGGTGGTCAGTAGGGTTTTGTGGGTATAAATGAAGACAGAATTTGGGCCTGTATGAGTGTAAAATATATTCTTCCACCCTGAGAGGGAACTTCCCAGCATTCTGGCCCAACAGAGTGAGATGTAGCATGGAAAGTCCATCACTACATAAAATAACACACCAATAAAATCAAATCTTACTTTTTGTACTTGAGCAAATCATGTGTTGAAATTAGTAGATGCTTTGCATAAGCCAGGACACTGGTGCTGGTAGGGGTGTGTGGAGGCTGGTACTTTTGCCATAGTGACTCCATGGGAGCCATCACCAAGGCACTTCTGCAAGATGGGGCTCCCACCAAGTCCCCAGGTAAATCCCTGTGGACTGGAGCTGATTCTTGTCTCTACCTACCTGGACTGGACTCCTGCCTGTTGCCCAGAGCTGCCCACAGTTGCCCAGGAGAAGCCCCTTCTGCATAAAAAGGGAGAGATGACCCTCCCCTTGCATACTCCTCGCTGCAGTTCAAGGAGTGTCGTGTTTCCCCACACAGGCAATGAAGATAGGGCACTTGTTTGTTGAAAATATTGATTTGTTTTGCAGTTGTACTACTGGGAAACAAAACTGTTCTTGAGATTTAATTATCATTATTTGGTTTGGGGTTCGTTTGTTTGTTTGTTTTAAATATGGATTATTATAACTTTGTCATATATGCATTAATCTTAGTTATCTGAGGTTAGTTGTCTTATTTCAGCTCTGTATTGCCATGGTTAAACTGTTGACAGTGAATTTCTTTTTTGATTGCATTTTGCTGAGGCATATTAACTCATTAAGCAATGTCTGTCTGTCATGGAAAATGTACATCATTTAATAACTTCTACAAGAATATTATTAAACACCACCTCATAATAAAATAAGCACTTTAAAAGCTACAGCATAGTTTCCTATGCCTTTTAAAATATTATGAAAGTGCTCTAGCTGAAAAAGGGAAAAAAATATCCTTCTAAACTAGCTTTAAAATTTTTTACATGCTGCTCCAAAAGTGTAAAATACAGACAGATTTAAGCCTGGCGAAGAATTGGAGTTTTGATCATGAATGTAGCAGGGGCAGCATATTTAATGGCTGAGGTCTTGTATTTAATAGCAGACATAGACTGCATCAATTCATTTTGTTTCTGTTGCCTCTTGTGTTTCTGTCTCTGAAAGAGTGAAGTAGGTTGACAATAGTGTGTTATAATTAGTGGAAACTGGCATGTGCTATAATATAGAATTGAAAGCCTTCAAGCCAGTGCTAGCAATCTACGATTTTTTTTTACAAAAGTGCCCTAATATTCTGCCTTTCCCTCTTTATCAGCTCAAGTATAAGTGCTCTTTAATAATATTCGCAAAACTTTACTGAAACATCCCTTAGAAATGTTGTGTTTCTTTCTTTCCTGTGCTTTAACCTTTGAGATTCAAAAAGTGTGTGGGTTTTATTATTTATATTCATTTTTCCCCTCTGGCTCCCAGATGTCTATTTAAAGATGCTCCTGAATGCTGACTTGGGAAAGTGATTCATCATTTTCCAAAGCAATTCACATTACAAGAACAGCACTGTAACCAAATATTGCCAGCTTCATTTCATAGTTCAGGACTGTTTAAGAGAGACTTCATTCTTTTTCTCTCACTAGGTTAATAACCAAATTGACCCAGCCCTTCCATAATTTTTAGATAATTTTGGAAAAAATTTGCATGTGAAACCTTGGCAGTACTGATTGGTTTTGAGACAGTGCACTCCAAGGTATATTCTTGACTGAATTACGCCCAAATTGTGCCTAAGCGCTCTGCCCTTGTAGTTAGCAATGGCTGTGGGAAACATCAGTTTCATATGGTTTTGTGCTTTGAGTGGTCCTTTAATTCTCACCTGCCAGGGGGAAGAACATGCACCAGGCATCAGCTGTGCCTGGCATCTCCCATGAGCCTCTGCCTGCTTGCCCATTCTTCACCCCAATAGCCATGTGTTGAGATGGGTATTTGCACCTCCTAATTTGGGGGATCCAGCCTTTTCTGTAAGCCCAAGTTACTGCTGCAGGAAACTGGGAGAAAGAGGCTCTTCCAAAGTGTGCCTTAGCCCACACCTAGTGTGGCAAGTTTTCCTTCTCTCTTTTGACTATGTAGCAAGATCAGAACACTGTTTTGGGAATCTAAGTGAGATACACGAAGGTAGATGGTATGAATACTCATTTTAAAGACCGAATAGCTAATAGTTTAGCTAACTGCATTGGATACAGGCAGCAGTAGATGTCAGGGTCCAGCAAAAAAAGCATCTGTAAAGAGATTGATATAATAGGGTTTATCCTCTTGCTTAATATTGGGTTCATTTTTCTTAAATACAAACTAAATTTGTCACAAAATTTTACTGGGACACTTCATAATGAAGGGAACCATTCACTGCTTCATGCTGCTGCCTGCCATACAGACTGCATGTGCAGGAGAGTCGAGGATGGGATTTATGCTGCAGTGGGGGATGATAACACACATGTGAACGAACTAAAACTCCTTCAGATCCAAGCCCTGAACTGCACTGACCCTGGTGAAACCAAATATCAGCAAATTGTTTCCTTTTTATTTATTAGCAGAAATCGCAGAGATTTTTTTTTTCCAAAACTTTGTTCTCTTTTTTGTCTATGTAATTGTTACATTTTTTGCATACTATTTTAACTTAAAAAGTAAAGTTACTAAAGAAACTAACCTATTTCATTTTATTGGTGCAATTGGAACCTGTTCCCCCCAAAATAAATATGTTTTCAGTGGATGTTCAGAAAGATTCCTAATTTCAAACCACTCACTAGCTTCTTCTTTACTGTATTCTTCTGGGATAGAGCCTACTTTCTCAAGTGCAATCTATATGCATTTTTTGTTATCTCAGTTAAATGCAGCTTTCCTAGCAGTATTTTTTACTTTATGCAGTATGTAATGTGTCTTACCTTGATGAAAAAATAAATACTGCTTTTGAAAGAAGATACTCTGAGTGATTATTCAGAATTCAGATGAACTAAAACCTGCAATTTACTGGAAGACATTTTCACAACATGACACCTTCCATGCTAGATCTCTTTGTGAATTTCAGCAGTCATTCCCAGGAGCAAGAGAGAAGTACTGACTCGAAATTTTGGGGTAATCCAGTTTAAACCCTGAGGTAGAAGAGCAGACAGCTTCCTTGCAAAAAAGCATGACAGCAGCACGGCATTTCACATGGCCAGATCAGGGTGCTTCCCCAGACCTAGTGCTGATCTCAGCCCCCATGGGCTTGGCTCCAGCAGAGGTGTCCTTGCTTGCCCTACTGAAGCAGCTTCTTACTGGCTGAAGGTCTGAAACTCACCTTAACCAAGGCAGAGTTAAGCATCCAATTTTTGTGTGCAGGACAGCTGGAGGAATCCAAACCCTCTCAAGGTAAGGAAATTCAATCGATCCTTGTGAGTTCAGGCACTTCCCCCAGCTTTGGCAGATACAAATTTTGTTGTGTTGCATCTGGAGCATATCTTTCATAGCTTTGATAACTTCCAGTTTAAGTCTCTTGTGTTAAACTAAAGCTGCCTTAGGCTTTCACTGGGTCTTGAACTGAATAAGAACATGAAACTTTTGTTGAATTGATTCTTCATTAACTAGATGCCAGTCTGATACAGGAAATACAGATAGCATACAGTCCAGGGACTCAGCTTTGCAGGCTGTCCTCATGCATGTGCACATTGTTCTGTACAGTAACGTCACTGACATGGAACAGTCAGCCATTCAGATAAGCATATTTATGTTTTGCTTTGTCATTGTTGCTCAGGGAAAGTATTCATATATCTTGATTTTGGGTTTTTTTTTGGGGGGGGGAAGGTAGTCTGAAGAGCCATTTACTAACAAAAGAAGTTCTGTTCTGTACAATGCACACGGATGAATTAAATAGGCAAAGAATACATTCTTTTTTCCCCCTTCAGAAATGCACTGTGTAGAGAGCAGCTCAGAAAATGTTCAAGCAAGTGTCCAAGGATGGTATAAAGCTCCTCCCATCCAGCACTGCTATGTACCTGCATAACTAATGGCTAGCTAACATTATTAGCTTGTCCTTGTGAAAGCTTTTAGAAATCTGCAACATAAAAAGTAGCTTTATGTCTCTTTAGCTGAAAAAATATATGGTTCCTGAGGTCATTCAGGAACTCATCATTACCTTTTCTTTTTAAAAATAAGTATATTAAAAAAATTATTCTTCCCATTTTTGAAGAACATGGAATCTTTTAGCTGATTTTAAGAATGACAGCTATAAAAATACTTTTCTGCAAATTCATATAAGATTTCCCTTTTCTCTTGCTCTTTTCTGGAGAGCATTGCCCAGTCACGCTGCTGTAACACAAATTCAGCAGATGTCCAATTTGTACTTATTCTCCCAGGGACTCCAGTGCAGTACCTAATGAAAATACAGAAATTAGCATTCTGGTCTCTCATTCTAGGAACTTTAAATTTAATTTTGTTTATTGATAGTCTTGGTCAAATATGCTGAAATACAGAACATTCATAAAGTGTTTGCTTATTCAGTGACCGGCCTTGAAAATCTGTCATAAGCATTTAAAATGCAGATTTTATTTTGCATTTATTTTCACAGACTTCTTCGAGAAATGGGATTTCCAAACCCACAAATTTTCTGCCACGAACAGTAGAAAAGAAGTATTCTAGATTTTAGACTATCTCTGAAATTAATTTGACTTGACTTAGTCTGAAATTCCTTTATAGTTAGTGGAAAAGGTATTTCAAAACTAAATTTATAAAACCTGATTTTTGAAACTGAGTTTCAAAACCTCTTTAATGTACTGCTTATAGAAAGTTGCTGTGGCACAGACATGCTTTAATAAAAATGGAACTAGTTATGTAATACCAGTTACTGTGTTAGATACTCCAGTTTCAAACTGACAAAGGATTTCTGCTTCAGTTGAAAGAATTTCAGTTTCAGAACCAATACAAAGAGAAAGGGGAAAAAAGAACTGGATACTTTTCAAATATTTTTATACAAAGGGTGATGACATAAGAAAAAAACCCTTGCCTTTATTCATTGTCTTTTATTAGATAAGTAATAAGAGTAGACAACATAACCTTTTTGTTCTGTGTTTTAGATTGGAGGATATCATCTCAAGTACTGGGTACACCGAGATGAGCTCTCTCAGTTCAGTTTGAAATCAGTTAACCTTCTCCTTGATGAGGGTGGTCATATCAACACAAACGTATGAAATCTTTCTATCCACTGTCATAATTTCTTTGCCTTTTACCAAACAAAGAATAAACAAATAAATATGCTTTGGTAATATGGTATTTCTACTTGTACCTAGAACATGAAGAAAGAGGATTCCCTCCCCAGAAATGAAAAGCTATTATGCACTGAAGAATCACATACTGTTTGAGATAGGAAGGGACTTCTTGAGGTTGTCTTTTCCAACCCTTTGCCCAAAACAGGGTCACCTACAACAGGTTGCTCAGTATTGTCCAATTGGGTTTTGAGTTTCTGAAGGATGGAGACTCCACTATATTATTAGGCTTCATGTAGAGCAAGGGAGACATTAGTTTGTTTTGAGAAACCGGGTGGAAACAAGAGACAGAGAAAAGTCTGACAAAAGTCTTGGACCTCTGCTGAGGGCTCTGACTCAGGGAAGACTGTCCAGTTGTTGGTGATCAGACCCTTCTCCCTGCCAGGGTAGGCAGGACTTTGAGCTTCTGGCCCCATACTTACCCAACAGTATCAGCAGTATGATAATTCAAGGACGAGACAGAGCCATGTATCTTAGGTGGTGTGGGTAGATGGGCCAACCATACCTGCAGGAGGAGTCTTCCCCTCACTAATAGTGTAGTAAATGTCTGGTTCATAAATAACAAAGACATAACTTGTTAGCTTACATGACTGAAGGCTTGTCCCTACAGACTAGAAGGAAAGGGGCACACCAGCACAGGAAAGAGCCCATGTCACCTCATCAGACCAATGCAGCTCACAACCCCCTCAGCCCCAGGCTGCCCTGGGGAGCCTCAGTATGTGGACAGGGGAACACCTATCATCATGAGCTACAGGAGAATCATATAATTATAGAATACCACGTTGGAAGAAACCTCAAGGATTATCTGGCCGAACCTCTCTTGGCAAGTCATGACCTAGACTAGATGTCCCAGCATCCTATCCAGCCAAATCTGAAAACTGTCCAGTGCTGGGGAATCCACCACTTCCACAGGGAGATTATTCCAGTGGTTGATCGTTCTCATTGTGAATAAATTTCCTCTTGTATCCAGTTTTAATCTCCACAGGAGTCACTTGTACCCATCACCACTTATCTTTTCCATGTGACTCCTGGTAAAAAGGGAGGCTCCCTCTTCTTTGTAGCCACCCCTCAAATACTGGAACATGGTGATAATGTCCTTCTTTTCTCTGGGGTGAGTAAACCCAGATCTCTCAGCCTTTCCTTATACAGTTTTCTATCACTTTGATCATCTTCGTGGATCCTTTCCAGCTTCTCCGTATCTTTTTTGTACAGCGGGAACCAAAACTGAACACAATATTCCAGGTGTGGCCTGTCTAGCACTGAGTAGAGTAGGATGATGGCATTTTTGTCTCTGCTGGTGTTGCCCTTGTTGGCATAACTCAGCATCCTTTTGGCTCTCTTACAAGAGGGTCCCCATCACCTGACAGACTGAGGGGTGGTCAGAGCCAGGTGCATGGGGACCACCATGGGATGGCAAGGGAAGTGTATTTCAGTATTGTACAGGATTTCTTATAGGTTGTTCTGGGAAGGATGAAGAAAGGAAAGATCAAAGTGGTTTGGGGAGGAGCAAGTGGGAAAACATCAGGATAAGGGGACAAAAAGGGAGAGTCATATGCAAGCAGGGGCTGGTACGTGCACTTGCCTGGCTGTGCCCTGTGTGTGACCAGCAGTCTGTCCTAGCGTCTCACTAAACCCTGTTTCTAGCCATTTTGCCAGGCAAGAGGCTCTGTCCTGGTGGTGGTAGTATCTAGTGATAGTCCCTGGGGCGTGACAAGAGTCTGGAGGCCTATGTGTCCATGGTGCCAGTGACTGGAGAGACCAAGTTGGCTGCTGGACAGACCAGAGGGTCAAGGTCAACTGTCTGAGAGACTGTGGGGCCTTGGGATCAACTGAGACCCATGTGCATGCACGCAAGACGGTGTGTCTATGGGAACACTCGTTTGTTCCCGCTGATGGCTGAACACAGATCTGCAGAGCTGTGGCAGCCTTGCCTCCATCAGGCCACCAGACTCAGCAGCAAGCCATCACAGGGAGATCTTTCATAATTGTGACAAAATTGGAGGCTGCAGTATTCTGCAGCTTCAAGATAGATTTTCTCATTAAGTCACAGGAAGGCAAATTGTCCAGCTTTACTGCATTATAAAGGCTCTGCTGCAGCACAGCCCCCAGAGCATCCTCCTAAACTCAGAGAGCACCTGATGTGAAAGAGGCCTTCATTAAACTGTTCTGATACCTGACAGATGGCATTCATTGCAACCTTTGCATCAAAATACCAACCCTTGGATTCTGTTACTAATTTATTTCAAAAGGTCAGGCAAGGATTTGTATACCCTCAAGGAAACAATTGCTTTATAGGAAACTGCAGTTTTAGTATTCAAATACTTCCACTTAGGGAAAATGCTACAATTTTCCCAGTTAAACTGTGTCTGAACACCTATTGCATAACTGATTATTAAATGAAGATAAACCATGTAAGCTTCCATGAAGAAGACTTTTTTTTTCCAATTAAAATGAGGACTCTTGGGTCCAAAGTAAGACCCTGACAAGAAAAGCAAATTAGTTTCACTGAGAAATGCAGGTACTGCATACCTGAAATCTGTAGGATTGAACAATGTAGACCAAGTCAGCAATTTTGATAATCAAAAGACAAGTATCCCTTAAAAAGTCCTTCTATATAAAGCGAATTCAAGGAACAAATGAAAACTAGTCCTTTCATTTTAATATCACTAGCTGATGGAA